GGAGAGGGTGCGTCTGTGGGTTTGGAGCCACTGAGCTCGCGGCCATTTGTCAGCGTCGCCGGAGGAGGCTCACGCGTGCCCTATCGTCTCTGACCCTCCGTCGTCCCTCCTTGGGCCCGTGAAGCCCTTCAGCTGGACTCTGTACCTTTCTTCCCGGCTTCTGCGCACGGCACTGCCGTCCCCCCACGTCCAAGCGCACGGCCGGGCGTCGGGACGTCCTCTCCAGGACTCCCATCGGCCCACACCGGCTCTGCCCACTGCCCGCCACTCCCACCACCCCCTCCCTGGTCCCGCCGTCTCCTTCCTGTCTGGGGGTCAGACTCCTCGGGGACCTCCTCCGAGTGGGTCCCACAGGGTGGTCCCTGTGACGGCTTCTTCCACGATGTCTGGGGATCTCACTCCCAGTGCGGCCGCGTCCGGACGTCCTTCCCGTGCAGGGTGACCCACGTGCCACCACGCCCACTGCACGGTGCGCTGGGCACTTGGAGAATGAATCCCACCCCGCCTTTGCTCCCTCACCCCTCGTCCCCATCTCAATTGCGGGGTGTCACCGCCTCCCCTCTCCCCCCAGCCCTTCCCCACGCCCTCCTCCGTGGCTGGCGGTCCTGCACTGGGACCCGCCCTCCCCGCCGCTGCTGTGCTGGGATGAGGCAGCACTTCCAGGCCTAAGTGCTGGAGGGAAGGGCGGTGTCTCCGGGCCCCACCCTGAGTGCAGCCACGGCTCCAGGTTGCCCACACTCTGCAGGGCGGGCAGTGCTGGGTCACCCGGGGCCGGGGCTCACAGGACCCGCCTCCCCGCCCCTGACAACCAGGCGCCCGGCCTCAGTCCCCACAGGGGCTGCCCTCCCCCACCCACAGGAAACACTTGACTTTTTTTAAAATATGTTTTTATTGATTTCAGAAAGGAAGGGAGAGATAGAGAGAAATAGACTCATCAATGATGAGAGCGAATCATGGACCGGCGGCCTCCTGCACGCCCCACACTGGGGATCGAGCCCACACCCCGGGCCTGTGCCCCGACCGGGAATGGACCGTGACCTCCTGGCTCACAGATCGATGCTCAGCCCCTGAGCCCGCCGGCCGGGCCGTCAGCGGTGGTTTTCACGAGCTCCCTCCGTGCGAAAGGTGGGGCCTCCTGCCCTCTGACCCGACTGAGCCTGGACCTTAGACGCCTTCAGTGCCCGAGGACGGACAGCACTCTCAGAAGCCAGGACCCCGGTGCACAGGCTGAACGCTGAGCCTTCCCGCGATGGGTGACCGGGTGCCCCCTGGCCCCGCGTTGGCTGTGTTGCTCAAGGGATGCGAGGCCGCGTTCTCTTTGCGAAGCCGGGTCCTGTAGCCCGAGACCCTGTCCTCCGGGGTGCAGGGAGCGCACACCTGCCATCCAGCCCTTTCCCGGGCACTGACAGACACGGGCCTCGGTGCTGCCCCGTGGACAGCGCGCCCCGGGGCTGTGCAGGGTGCTGCCTGCACCTGGGGTCCCGATGGCTTTGAGCTGTATGCCCATCGCAGGGTGTGTCCCAGCAGCCCCCAGACACTGCCAGTCCTGTCTTCCTGCCACTGCTCCATGCCAGGCCCACCTGCTCGCCCCTCTCCCCGGGGCAGGTGGGGTCTGGCCAGTGCAAACACCGCATTCCTCTTGGGCAGACACAGGACGGGAGACCCAGGTCGCAAGACCACCCAGTGGCTTCACCAGATGTTCCCGACTCAGCCGGGTCTGGGAGGGCCTGCCTTCCTCCCACAAACCTCCCCGAGCGCCAGCCCTGGTGGTTGGTGGGGCACGGGTGGGTGAAGAAGCAGGCAGGCCGGGCAGGCTGAGCCTTCGGCCGGGCCGTCAGGAGGGCCTGGCGCCCTGGCAGCTGCTGAGGACAGCTGTGACCCTCAGAGTCCCCTTCCCCCGCACCAACACCTGCCGGCCGGCCGTTCCCTGGCTGTCACCTGGGCGAGGCCCTTCCCCGGCCCGGCCTCGTCTGTGGACTGGCAGGACCTGGGCAGAGAGGCTCGGGCAGCCAGGAGTCCTTGTCCACGCCTGGTCTCGGTCTCCTGGGGCCGCCACTTCCTCCCTCGGGGCCTCCGCCTCCCCACTTGGCAAATCGGACAGAAACCTGCCCTGTCTGCTGGGATTCGCGCTCAGCGAGCCGGTCAGGGCTGTCCCCACAGGGTGTCCACAGAGTGGCTGCTTGTCCCTGGCTGGGACCCCCGCGGCACCGGCCTGGGCTGTGGGCACTAAGTCAGTGCCCCAGCTCCAGGGT